CGGCCATCCCAATGTCACCAATCAGGAGGCCTCCTGTGGGTGGATGTGAATCAGATTGTATGGTGTATGGTCTCTCCTTGTCATCAGGGATCCATCCCCTCTGACATCTACACTACAATCAGCACATGACAACCCCAGCCAGTGATTGGTCAGCAGGGGGGATGATCAGACTTCTCACCTCCAGGGGGGGCAGGTCTGGGTCCAGCTGGGTGAAGCTGCTGAGAACTACCGGACTGCTGTCCCCGGACACCTCCAGCCTCACACCGTCCCACAGACTCCTCATCTTCCGGGAGCCATCGAACATCTTCTCCGGGGGGCTGCCCTTGTCATGGTGGGCTTCCAGCAACATCAGCAGGATCATCGGGGGGGAAGGGAGGGCTCACATCACCAGCGCCAGGCTACGAGCCTCGTCTACTGTCCTCTGTATCCCGGGACAACGGATGGAAAGTTGAGGCTCTGTGCCAGGATGTGCGAGCTCCGGGATCTCTCTGCTTCTACTGACTACACCGAGCCATCGGCATTGCCATTCCCATCGGCACGCAAGGCACGCCCACCTCGTGACGTCTCCCTGCCTGTCCTCACCCCTCCCATACAGAATGACAAGGGAAAGGGAGGGGGAGAGGGCGCTGGAGCATGCTGGTAGCCGCGTCTCATTTACATGGCCACGCCCAGGGGCTATACAGCGCGGGATAGAGGGTATTCCTTGGATGATGTGAGCTGCGCTTTATAGTGAGTCCTGAGTTACCGATGTCTGGTCTGCTGATAGAGAAGAGCAGGAGGGGGCTGACAACTCATGGGGGCCCCGGGCAATAGGGGATCATGGGGCCCCTGTGTCCTTGCCCACACCCAAAAAAGCCAATGAAAAAGGTACCAGGGGCATCTCATGGGGCCCCCTACTGACCCCGGGCCCTCAGGCTGTGCCCGAGTGCTCGAATGGTCAGTCCGCCCCTGCTGACATGTACACCTAACACAATCACATCACATGTACACCTCAATATACTCATATCACATGTACACCTTATACTATCACATGTACACCTCATAATATACTCATATCACATGTACACCTTATAATGTACTCATATACTCATATCGTACACCTAATATCACATGTACACCTCATAATATACTCATATCACATGTACACCTCATAATATACTCATATCACATGTACACCTTATAATGTACTCATAATATACACCTCATATCACATGTACACCTTATACTATCACATGTCACACCATGTCATAATATACTCATATCACATGTACACCTTATAATGTACTCATATCACGTACACCTAATATCACATGTACACCTCATAATATACTCATATCACATGTACACCATACGATCACATGTACACCTCATAATATATCATACTCATATCACATGTACACCTTATACTATCACATGTACACCTTCTAATATACTATCAATGTACTCATATCACGTACACCTCATATAACTATACTCATATTACATGTACACCTCATAATATATACTCATATCACATGTACACCTTATAATGTACTCATATATATCACACGTACACCTAATATCACATGTACACCTCATATACTCATATCATATCACATGTACACCTTATACGATCACATGTACACCTCATAATATACTCATATCACATGTACACCTTATAATGTACTCATATCACATGTACACCTAATATCACATGTACACCTCATAATATACTCATCATATCACATGTACACCTTCTAATATCACATGTAAATGTATAAACCTATATATACAAATATAATATAAAATGTACACTTTTTAATATAATACCATAAAATGTACACCATTTACACATGTAAAAATGTAATTATAAAAAAAAAAAAAACTATATATATGTACAAAATGTACATCCTCATGTCAAAATCTAGCAATATAACAATATAAAATGTACATCTTCTAATATCACTAATATAAAATTATAATGCTATAAAATGTACACTTCAAATAATAAAAATGTAAAAATATATAAAATATGCACCTTACAAAATATAAAAATGTATATTATATAATATAAAATGCACACTTTCTAATATAAAAAATATAATAACATAAACTATACATAATGCTATAAAATGTACACCTTCTAAAATAAAAAAATATAATAATATAAAATGTGCAGTATAAAAATCTAACAATATAAAATGTACATATTGTAAACTAAAAATATAATAATATAAAATTTACACCTTCAAATAATAAAAATATAATTTAAAAAAATGTACACCGTCTTATAAAAATATATTAGAAATGTACATCTTTCAGTATAAAAATATATTATAAAATGTACGTCTTATAAGAAAAATACATAATATAAAATGTAGAAGAGCTGTGTCTCTGTGTGTTTACCAAGGTAAAACTTTTCGATAGAGTAAGGAGGGGTCATAACCCCTGTCAATTTTTTTTTTTTTTTTTTTTTGCCATCTGTGTCTCTTGGGTAGATTTCCTTTCACTGTCCCATCACCACAACAGGTAGTAGTCACCAGAACTAGTGTCCCCATTGGAAGATTTCCCTTCTATTCCTATTCTGATGACTACTCAAAATTTGGGGTTTTATTTCATGCTCAGTGACAAAAGTAAACAGGACAAATAGGTTGAACAAACAGCAATAAAGGCTGACTGGGGGTCTATTCCTTCCCCACGCTATCCAAAAATGTAAAAAAAAGTCTTGCCTTTAGTTCTATAATAACAAATCAATGGCAGTGTAGCCCCTCCCCCCCCATTCCTGACATGTGTCGTCCATTTGTCAGTGGATGGATTTAGAAGCTATGCTGCAGCTTATTAGCTCTGCTGAACTGAAATGTAAAGAAAGTGATGGTAGAAAAATAAACAGCACATCCTGGCAGCATGAAGCCTAATGCAAATAGTCATGTGAGTGGTCCAGCCCCCATCACTCCCAGTGTGGGGTGACGCTTTGTATTGTTACAGTTGTTACTACCGCCAGCAGATCTACACATTGTATCCTAAATCAGTCCAGGCCGACCTTTGGGCATTTACTGTTAGACCCCATGTACACAGAACACTTCTGAACGATGGAAACTGACTGCTGGAAAACGTAGTTTAAAAAACGTCAGTTTAGCCGCATTTGCGTTTAGAAGCGTTTTTTAAAGATAACCTCAAGAGACCTTCCCAAATGCCCAGAATGCACTTAAAAACAGTAAAAAAATAAGTATTTCAGACATTTTGAGGGAAATAGAGAGAGCAGAAGCAGAGAGAGCAGTATTTGTTGAGATTAGCTGTCGTTTTTTTTTTTTTTTTTGTGGTGTTTGGATGTGTTCCAGCTCATTTCTGTGTAGAAATGATTGCAGCAGTGTCTAACATTTTCTTTCATGCGAATCCTCGAAGTATGGTGTACCAGGTCCATTTTGAAAACGCTTTGCATGCATTTTTCATGATGAAAAAAGGCTCTGGAGAGCATCTGGAAATGGAAAAGTTAAAAAAAAATTTCAAACGCAAACGCTTAGAAACGCGTTTAGCTGTATTTACAAGTGTTTAATAAAATCTACTCCTGAACGCAAGTTTTCTGCGCTCAAAAAAACAACTGTAAACTCAACTGCTTGTAAATGACTGTAAATGACGATGTGTACATGGACACAGAGGAAAATATTAGGGAGAGTTCAGGGGCTGCTGAAAAAAAACGCAGAAAAGCTCCAAACGTGAGTTTAGCAGCTGCAATGTACATGAGCCCTTACATTTTTGTGAAAAGTGCCCTGCACTGGGGGGATGAGCAAAGTAAAAGTTTTAATTTCCCCATACATGGGAGATTTTGGTGACATAGATCCTCTGACCAGCCCTGGACACAGCCCCCGGACCCCACTGCACATAGCGGCTGTGATAGCCCAGTGTAGTTGCCCTCCACAATACACAGCACTGGAGTATTCAGCATAATGCGCACAATGGCAAGCGCTCATTGGTCAGCACAGCCACAAGACCGTGCTGACCAATGAGAAGCACATCTGAGGCGTCCTCCACTGGTGAGGTGTATTTGTAGCTGCTGATTTTGATTTTTTCTGCAAACGCCTGGAGTTCCTATTTGAAGATTAAGATCTCACGCACACAGGGCGTTTTGTTATTTTTCCCAGACACCTTTCCTCCCGGCAGCAACATGTTGGAGAAAAAATGCCTGACACTTGTTACGGCGTGTAACGCGTTTAGGCATGTCAAGAGCTGGGGTGTTAATTCATTTCATTGGGCAGAATAATCATTTATTCTGGCCATTGAAATGAATTAACACTCAAGTGCTCAATATGCCTAGCATTAATGCGTGTTTAGATGCGCTTGCACACGTTTAGGAGCATCATGCGTTTTTTTCTGCCAAAACGCCACTACTAGACGCGCTGGCAGTGTTTTGCTTTTTTTGCTTTTAACCACTAGCCTACAGGGCACTTATACCCCCTTCCTGCCCAGGCCAATTTCCAGCTCTCAGCGCTGTCACACTTTGAATGACAATTGCGCGGTCATGCAACACTGTACCCATATGAAATTTTTATCATTTTTTTTTTTGACAGATAGAGCTTTCTTTTGGTGGTATTTAATCTCCTCTGGGATTTTTATTTTTTCTTAAACAAACCAAAACCACTGAAAATTGAAAAAAAAGTTTTTTCTTAGTTTTTGTTATAAAATTTTGTAAATAAGTGATTTTTCTCCTTTACTGATGTGCGCTAATGAGGCTGCAGTGATGGCCACTGATAAGATGCGCTGATGGACACTGATAGGTGGCACTGATGAGGAGGCACTGGTAGGTGGCACTGATGGGCATTGACAGGCATCACTGATGGGCACTGAAAGGCAGCACTGATATATGGCACTGTTAGGTGGCACTGACTGGCACTGTTAGGTGGCACTGACTGGCACTGATAGGCGGCACTACTGGCACTGATAGGCGGCACTGATGGCACTGATAGGCGGCACTGACTGGCACTGATAGGTGGCACTGATTGGCACTGATAGGAGGCACTGACGGGCACTGATAGGCGGCACTTATTGGCACTGATAGGTGGCACTGATGCGCACTGATAGGCGGCACTGACTGGCACTGATAGGTGGCACTGATTGCATTGATAGCACTGATTGGCATTGATGGTGCACTGAAAGGCAGCTCAGATGGGCACTGATGTGCACTGGTAGGCACTGATATGTGGCATTGATGTGGCACTGATGGGCACGTGGCATTGTTCAGCACTCACAGCTGGCACTGATGGACACTGACAGGTGGCAATTTTGGGGCCACACTGATCATCAGGGCACACTGATCATCAGTGCCCTGATGATCAGTGTATCTGCCCCCCTCCGCGGAATGCCGATTACCGGCTCTCCTCTCCTCTCGAGCTGTCAGTGTGACAGCTCGAGAGGAGAGAAATGCCGATAAACCGGCATTTCCCTGTTTACATGTGATCAGCTGTGATTGGACACAGCTGATCACATGACCGAGCCAACATCTTCGGCTTTTTCCGTGGATCGGTGATCTGCTGTGTCCGAGGGACACAGCGCACCACCGATCGCCGCACTGCATGCTCCCTGAGCTGCGCATGTGCGGTGAGAACGGAAGGAAGTCATATGACGTCCTATCAGAACAAGAGAACCACCTTGCACCCGTCATTGGACTATATGGCGGGCGGGCGGGAGGTGGTTAAACACCCCTGCTTCTAAACTCTAAACTGGGGTGTTTAGAGGCAGAAAAAAAGCCAGATGTTAAAAGCATCCTGCATGCATGAGACCTTAGTCCTAGTTCACACCGAATGTGATTGGGCGCGACTTCAAAGTAGCGCTGGTATAGACACAGGTGCGATTTCAGTGCCATTTACCTTATAGTCTATGAGAGTTAAATCGCACTGAAGTGGTGAAAAAGTAAAAATAGAAACAACACCTACTGCGCTCAGGGACCCAGATCAAGGGTGGATAGATGGACCACCTATGGAAGTTTGTCCACCAATGGATCAAAGGTTGTGCAGCTGTTAAGGCTGGGGAAGCTCGACCAGTACTGCAAAGTGAAACAAAAAGCGCACCAACCTTGCGTATTACCTCAATACAAAACTTGATTTTATTAAAATGAGATATATACTCACAAACGGAGCAGTAAAACAATTGTGCAAGATCCTCAAAGGAGCATTAAAGTAAAAGACCACTGCGAGTCGCATCAACGGGGGGAAACTCCCAAAAGTTTATCCGACGCGTTTCGTGCTCTGAGGAAGAAGAGACACCTTTAGAAACACGTCAGAGAACTTTTGAGAGTCTCCCCCCTTGATGTGACTCGCACTGGTCTTGCACTTACATGCTCCTTTGAGGATCTTGCCCGCTTGTTTTACTGCTCCGTTTGTGAGTATATATCTCATTTTAATAAAATCAAGTTTTGTATTGTGGTGAAAAAGTAATGCAAATCACGCTACTTGAAATCACACCTATTAAGACAATGCCATAGAAATACATTAGATGCGACTTCAGGTGCGACATGACATTTACAAATCGCACCTGAAGTCACAGCGGTGTGAACCTGGGCTTCAGCCTCACGCACACTGGACGATATTGACGTTGCTGCCTCTAAACGCCCTGCATGTACAGCGCTGGTCCAACTTTCATGCAACTTGAGGGCCGTAGACTTCAAAGTTAACCCTCAAAACTTGCATGCAAGTCGCACCTGAATGTTTTACATGCAACAATGGGTCCAACTTTGCAGAAAGTCACATCTAAGTCGCACCCATACAAATTTGCTTCAAAGTTTCAACAAAGTTGCACTCTGCAGTTTTGGAATCATATAAGTATGAAGGGAGTCTAAGCCCCCATTTGCACCAATGTGATTTGCCATGCGATTTGACAGTTCACCCTATTTTTTCCTATGAAACCATTCAAATCTGTGTGACTCCAATGGGCACCAATTTTGAAAAAGGTTTCTGCACTATTTTTGCTGATTTCATGTGCAACGTGCATTGACATCTGTGCATAAAATCGCACAGATGCCGGCAAGCTGCACATCAAATCACTCCGACCGGCGACTTTGAAATCTTGCTACTTCAGCTGTGAACCAGGGCTAAGGCCGGCCATACATGGGTCGAAATTCGACCGATTTTTCATCCTAAAATCGGACCTAAGAATAATCAGACGATTTTCGCTCTGTTAGTGGGTCAATGGCACCGGCCGATTTTTGTGGTTCCTCCCCTTTTCGGTGATCGGGCATGTTGGAAAATTTGTGAAAAACGACCGATTTTCGACTCGATGATGGTCAAATCGTACGATCATTTTTCCAAAAAGAATATGTGCATGAGTCGTGACCTGGAAGGAACAAACATTTCGTCTGTTATATGGGGTGAACTTTATGACTTGGTCGGACGATTTTCGAAATCAATGATGGCACCATCGAATTACCGAGTGAATGACGGTTCCCGATTTTCGGACGAAAAATCGTTCGGAATTCGAACCATGTATGGCCTGCATAAGAGACAGAAAACAAATTCCCACTGCCAGTGCATCCAGGAGCAGCAGTGTTTTGGCAGAAAAAAACACTTGACGCCTGTAAATGAGTGTAAACGCACTGAAAACGCTCCTAAGGGCTAGGCGCATTTAGCAGTTAAGCTTTTAGTGTGATTTCATTTCAATGGCCAGAAAAATGTATTATTAGGGCCAATGAAATGAATTTTAACACCCCAGCTCTTGACACAGTTAAATGCGCCTAAACACGCTACATGCATTTACAGATATTAAGTGTTTTTTTTTCTGCCAGAACAGCGTTTAGGGGAGATAGTAAAAATGCCCAGTGTGCCTTACAGTCCAGGAATCCAGCTCACTTTGCTCGAGCCTGACTTTCTGTTACGGCTCCCCACTGCGCATGCACAAGACGTGCTGTGCTTGCAGACTGGTCCCGCAGCCTCTTGGGATATGTGACTTGTCCAAGTAGATTGCAAGACAAGAAAAGTGGAGGTGGGATTGGGTGGCTGGCTGACATAGGAAAAAAAAGTGTGGCGAAGGAGGGAAGTGGGGGGTGGGGAGCAAGAGGATGAGCGAACTAATCATTAGTAAGACCTCATCTGGAATATGCAGTTCAGTTTTGGGCATCAATTCACAAAAAGAACATTGGGGAACTGGAGAAAGTACAGAGAAGGGCAACCAAACTGATAAAAGGCATGGAGGAGCTCAGCTATGAGGAAAGATTAGAGGAACTGAATTTATTCTCTCTTGAGAAGAGGAGATTAAGGGGGGATATGATCAACATGTATAAATACATCAGTGGTTCATATAGTGAACTTGGTGTAGAGCTATTCACCCTGAGGTCATCACAGAGGACAAGGGATCACTCTTTACATCTGGAGGAAAAGAAATTTAATCTCCAAACAAGGAAAGGTTTCTTCACAGTGAGAGCTGTAAAAATGTGGAATAGACTCCCTCAAGAGTTGGTTCTGGCCAGCTCAGTGGATTGCTTTAAAAAAGCCTGGATTGTTTCTTAGATACACAGAATATAACTGGATACTAACATTTATAGGTAAAGTTGATCCAGGGAATATCCGATTGCCTCTCGGGGGATCAGGAAGGAATTTTTTTCCCTGCTGGAGCAAATTGGGTCACGCTTTGCTGGGGTTTTTTTTTGCCTTCCTATGGATCAACTGTGGGTATAGGATTATAACTTTTTTTTTTTTTTAAAGGTTGAACTGGATGGACTTTTGCATTTTTTCAGCCAGACTAACTATGTAACTTGAACTTTTATATGAAATTCCACTTTAACTATCCCTCAAAAACCCATTCCCCCCCGTGGGGCATATTGATAGAATGGGTTTTGACTATAGATGGATTATTCTAATCATAAGTGATCGATCAGAAAATAATATTGATCATTTATTGAAGCATGTATACCACCAATAAAAATTGTCTGTTATATAGCATCAGTCATTGCAGGGCTGTCTTAATGCATGGGCACTGCCCAGGGTCGCCAGTTGCATAGCGGCCCTTATCATAATCTTGCACTATATCATATTTGCCAACTGTCCCGGATTCGCCAGGTCAGTCATGTTTTTTACCAAGCTCTCCTGGGATGGCCTGAACAATGTCCCAGAACCTTTACTGCGTCCCCCTGATCCCAGTATTGTGCCCTACTGACTCCCCCTGTACTGTTCCCTTCTACCTCCCTCCCCCCCATACTGTGCCCTGTAGACTTTGATTTATGGCATGTTTTCTTGTTTAAAATCTATTTTATGGAAATTACTAATATACAGTATGTTTAATTCTATCAACTATTTATACTTTAACCACTTCAAGTCTGGACACTTTCACCCCCTTCCTGTCCAGGCCAATTTTCAGCTTTCAGAGCTATCACACTTTGAATGACAATTGCACGGTCATGCAACACTGTACCCGTATGAATTTTCTTTAGCATTTTTTTTAGACAGAACGGTCATGCAACACTGTACCCATATGAATTTTTTAGCATTTTTTTTTGAGACAGATACAACTTTATTTTGGTGGTATTTATTCACCACTGGGATTTTTATTTTTTTTGCTATATAAATGAAAAAGTCCAAACATTAAAAAAAAAAAGTATTTTTCTTATAAAATTTTGCAAATAAATACTTTTCTTCATAAATCTTGGCCAAATGTATTCAGCTATCTTTGTAGTAAAAAAAAATAACCCAAATTAGTTTATAACCAAAAATTATAATTTAAAAACATTTTTTTTTTTACATTTTTTATATTATTTGTTTTCTTTAGTTTTTTTTTTTTTAACATACCATCATCCTAGCAGTACAGTTTCACCATAGAGACACTGTACTACTTGTGGGGGGTGATGAAGATTTTTTTTTTCTTATTTTACACTGATTGCTTTTACGCCCATAAAGGCTGTAAAAGCAATACTTTCTCCTTCTCTCTGGCTGCATTCCTGCCGCCATTGAGAAATACTGTGAGAGTTGTGATTGGTCACAGCTTGTCACATGGTACAAGGCTGTTGTGAATAGTCTTGTACCATGTGACCTCTGAATTGGGAGCTCACACAGTGATCAGTGTCCGGAGGACACAGTGGGCATCGGATCGCGGTGCCAAGCGCTCCCAGGGAGCGCGCACAGGCAGTGAATGCGGGGGCAATTTATAAATGGCGACCCGCTTCAGCACTGCTCTCGTCCGGCCATTTATGTACATGGGACAAAAGGGAAGTGGTTAATTCTTGAGAGTGGGTGTGTAAAGTAGGACAGGCTGGTAGGGGTCCCAGTGCATTACTTTGCCCAGGGGCCATGATGCTATTAAGCTGGCCCTGAGTCACTGAACATATGGACAGATTTCCAGTATATCGGTCTTTATTTCTAAGTAAGACCATATGTGCTCCTAGTGTAAAGCACACAACTATAACTCCGTGTCACACGTTACCCAACATTACTATGTGTACAGAGTTCACTGCTTACAGCCCATGTTCCTGTATATGGGGCCAATAAACGTCGGCAGGTTGAAGGGTCAATAAACTCTTAATAAGCCATTCAGCAATCCAGACCGAAGTCACAAGACCAAGCCAAGGAAAATATGCTGAATGATTTCGGTTTTGAACTCTTATTTCCTCAATATTTCCAAGAAATGCTGAGCTTTCACTCTGCGGTGTTCCGCTGTGGAATGTGGGCAAAACAGGAAGTTCCTGGGAAGGGAGCCCACTCTGCAGCCAATCAGCATTCAGAGATTTTTCGGGTCATCATCATTTTCTCTAGCGCTGCAACTTTTCAGGAACGTTGTAAACAGCAATGTGTGCAGGATGGATGAGCCACCAAATGTTTATTCTGAATTGAGAGGTGATGGGTCAATGTAGCAGCCAGTACATCTACCAATAGAGGATTGCATCCTGGTCATGTGATTTACAGAGAATTTCGAACAAAATTTAAATAAGTTTCATTTTTTTCTACATATGATTCATGAGACGTTGCCAAACCTATTTAAAAGCTATGTAATAAACTGTAGGCATAGGGATCTTTCACATGACCGTTGATATCTGTGTAGCGCCGTCCCCTTTGGAGTCGCTAGAGATTTGGGTCCCCCTATAGTCCTGCACAGCCAGGGAACACGCATTTTCCACAGACTTGCACTGCAGAGACAGGAAACAGGCCTTGAACTTGTTTTTTGTATTTTATTAGGGGTACTAAAGTTGGATGGTGTTGAGGGATGCATGGGATGCCCAAGGAACTGTAAATGGAGGACAACTTTCTGGAACTATGTACAAATGCTCAGAAGGGTTTTCTCTTCTTGGAGAGCTTTCCAGCCTCTACTGGTGTACCTGTGTGCAAAGAAACAAACAGAGGGTGCACAGGCCTAGTGCATTACCTTCTAAAAATGAGATTTATTGAACGGCTTTGAGGAAGAGGTTCTGCCTCGAAACGCGTCAGTCATTTGGAGGCCTACAGTCCCCCAACAGCCACCATCTAGGGAGATTGGACCATGCTGTCTTTTTTGTGATGTGCCTTTGATTTTATTCTTTTGTGAGTATACTTTTTGTTCAATAAATCTCATTTTTAGAAGGTTATGCACTAGGCCTGTGCACCCTCTGTTTGTTTCTTTGCACACAGCTTCTTTGGATTTCCCTGGTCCGTTGAGGGCAGCAAGGCTTGCATTCCCAAGAAGTACTCCATGTGGGGTTACTGACATTGTGGAGCTCATCGTCTAGCGCAGGAATTACAGCATTCATTTAATCATGCTTTTTTATCTACTGGTGTACCACCCCCATCCCCAGATAGTTCTCCTCTATCCAGTTGTCTAGGGGAATCCTTGGACAAGAGGATCTAGAGTCTTCAACTTTGAAGCACAGTCTAGCTGGGGCTAGTTGGGTTTCCCACCCAAATACCCTCTCCCCTACTCCACTCCAAAGGGAGGTTAGAAGTACTCATTGTACCTCATCTGCAAGCTTCTGGTAGGTAGCTGCTTCCAGGCCTTCTGCTGGGCTGGCTCCTTCCTCAGCTCTTCAGATGGTCCTCACTCAGGGAACAGGTGAGGTTCACTTTTCCTCCTGCTCAGACCTTCCTGGAGGCAGGCCCCTTCCCGCAGGGCCTCGTCCCAGGCTCCATACTCAAGCTCCTGCTCTCACATCCTCCCCCCGAACTCCCCTGCTGCTGAGCAGGCCTAGTCACTCCTTTCTTCCATTTTTGCATTACAAAAAGCAGAAGAAAAATTCATGACTTTTAAATCCTATGGAACTCTTCACACCAGTCAGTTGCAGGTCAATTGCATTTTAAAAGTGCTGCATTTTTTTTATGTTTGGTGTGTGTTTTAGGCTTCTTTTACAATGATCTGTTTTTCTTCTGCTTTTCCTTTAAACCATGTATTCAAATGGAACTCTTCACATTGATCCGTTGCGGTCAGGTGCGTTTTTTTTAATTTCTGCACCTCCCTATTGAAGTCAATGGAATATGCAGTAAAAATTAATCCGTGTTGCATTTTGGTGCTGTTTTTTGAGTCACATGACCTGTAAAAAATGCACCGCAAATGCAGTAAAAACATGGCAAAAATGCATATGTGTTTTTGCTGCAATTTTGCTATGGATCACTTTGAAAGTAGCCTAAAACCGTACCAAAAATGCACCTCACCATTAAAATACATTAAAAATGCACCAAAAACACACTCGCGGTTGTATTTTTGTTGCATTTTTTAAGTCATACAGTGGCTAAATGGTTAGAACTTCCACCTGGCAGTACTTGGGTCGCTGGTTCAAATCCCAACCACGGCACCACCTGCCTGGAGTTTGCATGTTCTCCCAGTGCCTGTGTGGGTTTCCTCCGGGTACTCCAGTTTCCTCCCACGCTCCAAATACATGCTGGTAGGTTAATTGGATCCTGTCTAAATTGTCCCTAGTATGTGTATGTATGAATGTAAGTTAGGGACCTTAGATTGTACGCCCCTTGAGGGTTAGGGACTGATGTGAATGTACAATATATATGTAAAGCGCTGCGTAAATTTATGGTGCTATATAAGTGCCTGTAATAAGTCACATGTCCAAGTTTCACAGGCTGGGTAATAGATACCCAGAAAACGCAGCAAAAATGCATATGTGTTTTTACTGCATTCTTGCAGCAGAGCAGTGTGAAAGCAGCATTAAGCCCTGGTTCACATATATGCGGCCACGTTTTACGTGGGCACGAGTGCCCATTCATTTGAATGGACTCCCTTGCCCCGTGACACGCAGAGAAGAAGTCCCTGCACTTCTTCTGAAAACGCAGCCCGCACAGGAACCCAGTACGGTTGCGTTTTCCAGTGCGGGCGTTGTGCCATTAGAACTAATAGCACCCGCCCGCGGGTCCACATTCCTCTGTGCGGGTGGTGCAGCTGCACAGATTTTCGTGCGGATCCGCAGCGGCTTCACCCACACAGATGTGAACCTAGCCTAAAAGCAGAACAAAAATGCATGAAAAATTTATCCTTTCAAACCCTTTGGAACACTTCACACCAATGCACTTGAATGTGTTTTTAAAAGTCCTGCATGCTGCATTTTTGGTGCATGTTTTAAAAGCACAACAAAAAGCAGACCTCCCATTGAAATGAGTGGAAAACACATAAAAAATGCATTTTTGCTGTATTTTTTGTCACATGTACGTTTCATGGGTGCATGCTGAGAGTCAGGAATCCAGAAAACACACAAAAACATATAAAAAAAAAATATACGTTTTTGAAATTTGCATACTGCGTTTATAAACTCCCAGTGTGAAAGGGCCCCCAGGGGAATGCAAAATTCTGCTATCAAGATATCATTATTATTATTATACAGGATTTGATATAGCGCCAACAGTTTGCTCAGCGCTTTACAATATAAAGGGAGGCAATACAGCAACAATACAGTTCAATACAAGAGGGATAGGAGGGCCTGATCCTTGGAGTTTACAATCTAGGAGATCATCAAGTGCATTCAATAAGTTGAACCCCCGTTTTACATATATGCGGCCGTGTGGGCCGCATTTTGCACGGGCATGTGAGCCCATTCATTTGAATGGACTCCTGTGTCCCGTGACACACAGGGAAAAAGTCCCTGCACTTCTTCTGAAAACGCAGCCCGCACAGGAACCTCAGTTCCCAGTATGGTTGCGTTTTCCAGTGCAGGCGGCGTACCATTAGAACTAATGGCACCCGCCCGTGGATCCGCATTTCTCTGTGCGGGTGGATTTTTGTGTGGATCCGCAGCGGCACCACCCACACAGATGTGAACTTAGGGTAAAGATCGGTTTTAAATTCCCATCATGCCACAGTTTCTAAGATCCTGCCTGGGGTGACACAGAAGAGTGGAGCGCCGCTGTTTACTGCGGTTGTAAATACGCCAAATTGCTGGATTACTGTGTAAACCTGTGATAATTACAAGCATTGGACAGGCATTTGTGTTTACAGCTACCATAAACCTCCAGGCAACAGGAAAAATCATTCTGTAAAATACCAATGCTGCATAGGAAACTCTGCAACTGTGCTAAAGTCCGGACTTCTACTTAAAGGAAACCTTTTACGAAATACATATCGGGGCTTTCATTGCTAATCTGCCTTTTTTTTTCTTTCAAATACTTTTTTATGACCTTCTGTTTTTCAATACGCAGAATTTACATAAACACAAACAAAGCAATGGTGGTGGTGAGCGCCATGATGAGTGATGGGGAGGCGAAGCGCTCCCACTAATCAGTTGCTTGTACGTCAGTCAGGTCTTTCCAGAGGGTCTTAGATGTAAACAAGCCCGCCGTCTACATGCTGGAGAGCACATGCTGAAAGCAAACACAATAGCAGCTAATCACAGATTGAAGTAGTCATACCAGAATCCACCTCCAGTTTAATTGCCTCCTTATTGTCCGGATTACAGAGCTAAACAGCTGGAAGTGACTGGAGGGCGAAGCTGCTTACATAAACTCTCAGCCTGGATCTGCGGGTTTAGGAAGTTTGTTGTTTTTGTAAAAGTTTATATCTAAAGCACGGGGCCAAATCTGTACTATTCGGGCACTGGGGACAACAAAAAACCTCTTATGTTACATAGTTACCA